AGCATGGCTTCCTGGAGCATCAGCCTGCGTGAGTTTGCTGCAAAATGCACTCCTAGGTTAGCGAATAAATTAACTTGCACTGCACAGTTAATTCACAGAGATACAAAGATTTTAGAGATACCCATTTCATCTCACAAATATTTACTGAGCACCTACTCTCAGACTGTCTGAACACTAGGGAGGCAGCAGTTAGAAAAAGACAAAATCCCACCTTCCTAGATTGCATACTATTAGGGAAAGAGAGACAGGAAATATTATAGATAGTATGTCAGATAGAGAAAAACAAAGCAGGGAAGAGGATGGGGAGGGGGCATGCTGTACTTTAGACCCAGGGAGCAGGGAAGGCCATCCTTTGAAGGTGGCATTTGAGCGGAGAGCTAGACAGGGAACTGGCAATGCAGATATCTGGGGGAAGAGCTTTCCAGGCAAGGGAACAGCGAGTGCAAAGGCCCTGAGCCCACCTGGCGTGTTGTGAGGACCAGCAAGAAGCCAGTGTGTGTGTAGCAGAGAAAGGGGACAGGACCAGGCTGCCGGAGCCTTGAGGCCATGTTAAGGGCTGTGGCTTTGACTCTGTGAAATGGAAAGATAGCTTTAGGTTGAGGAATTTACAATCTGAGTTTACACCTTAAAAAGATCCTTTGGCTGTTGTATCGAGATTAGAATTGGGAGGAAAGGATGGAGAATATCCACACACAGAAAAAAATTTTTATTTTTATTATACTGATGACCGATTTCCGCCCTCAGTAGTTATCAGTTAGCTTTGAGGACACTTCTGGTTTGAGTTCTTTGTTACTTAAAAAGAGCTGAAATGGCTGGTCCTCCTAAAGGAAGTCAGTGTCGCCACCCTGTCAGCACTGCCTGCACTCGAGTTGTGTTTCTTTTGTGGTGATGGTTTTTGCAGATTCACCCAGGCTCTTCCACCCTGCTGTCTAACTAATGGGACCCACGGTGAGGTGTTGGGGCTGGTGTGAAGCATTTATTCATAGCCATGCAACAATTAACTGGTGCAAAGGGATTAGACCTATTATTGTGACCTCACTAGCAAGGTGCTTTAAATAGCTACTAACCAGTTAACACTAGCATACCAAAGGCTACTGCTTAAATAGCAGAGGCAAAAGCTTGAATAGCCTGGAACACTGCTTTCTAATGTGCAGGCTATCCATATTCTTCCTTGAAACCTAGGCAAACCACTTGAACACTTTCCAATGAGATGCTAAATAATGATAAAAACAATGATGACAGCTGTCCCCACTGATGACCTAATGTGTGTGAGGCACTCTGTCATGCACTTACACAAACCACTTGAACACTTTCCAATGAGATGCTAAATAATGATAAAAACAATGATGACAGCTGTTCCCACTGATGACCTAATGTGTGTGAGGCACTCTGTCATGCACTTACACATATTATTTCTAATCCTTATAGTAACCTTACAACTTAGTTTATATTAGTCCCATTTTACAGCTGAGGCAACTGAAACTCACAGAGTCCAGTAGCTTACACATGTTCAGACAAGTGATGCCAGGGATTTGCACCCAGGACTCTGCTGGAGTGGACGGATCCTTCTCCCTTTTTATCTTGGCACCTTTCATACTGCACTGTTTGTAGAACTGAACCTCTCGAAATGGAATGAAAATACCTATCATATGCTGCGGCAGTGGTATGTTGTAATCAACTCTGCGGTCTTGAAAAAGGCCCAACTAATAGTAGAGTGCTGAAATTTACAATGGTTGATTTTTGAAATGTAAATCAGATATTTTATGTTTTTCTTATGAAAACATCATGCTAGAAGGGAAGTACTGCAGTGAGAATTACACACAGCCCCGAGTACCTCCATGGGAGGATTATAGGGTCTTCACAGAAAAAAGACAAAAAGCCACTGACATACAATACTGATACGTGACTGCACAAAATAACACAAGGACCAGTTCCCGATGATTTGGGCATGATGTAACAGCCAGCCTAGATAATTGGACGATAATACTTGCCTGCTTTCTCGGAGAGGCTTTTAAGATGGTCTGAATTTCCAAATAATTAGGCAAACCACAGCTTTGAATTGACTGCACAAGCAGAGGCCTTGAGGTAGGGTAATGCTTCTTAGAAATGCATGACTTAATGTAATCATAATCAATAGTACAACATTTCTGAGCACCTATGATTTCTAATGTGACTCAAGTTACTCTGTTAACCCTCATAATGAGCCTGTGCCAGGTTCCTGGTATGAATCAACACTTTGAACAAGACAGGCTCATTTCTGTTTTGCAGGTATAGACAGGTGGTATTTGTCCTGCCTGGTATCTGTTCTTCCCTTCGTGGGAGAAAAAGTAGGTAACTGTGGTCA